CTTTTTGACTTTTTTTTTTTTTTGGCCACTTAAGGCTACACTGTTATCATTTTAATCAAGTTTTCACTTATAGGAAATATCCTTTGGAGGGACTAGAAGGAAGTACAGGGTCCTTTCAAAGGGTATTGTTCATATAACTCTTCCAAGAATGGCATGAATTTATATTGTTATGAGACAACACACTTGGTATGGCCGTTTTTTCCTGAGTTTTCTCAATAGTTGCTTACACTATATATAGAGACTACTTTATATAAATAGCAGAAAACTGCAAGCTAAGAGTGTAATTTTATTGCAAAGTTTACGTTTGAGATAAATAAAAATAGAAAAAAAAAGAAAAGGAGAAGGAATCAGTTATTTTGACATGCTCACCTGTATAGGGTAAATAATCTCCACTTCATCAGATCACAAAAGATCTCAAACTGCTTTGAAAAATCTAACCTTCTTAGCACTCTCTCTTTTCTTCATTTAATTCTAAATGTCTATTTCTAAATTTTTCTCCTTACCTGCGAATGGTCTTTGGCTCATTTCTAACTCCTCCTTTTCATGCAACTGAAACATACCTTTGTAAAGTATAGTGATGGAGAGTAACTGATCTCCAGACTAAAAAACAAGATTAGAGAGAAATAGAGAACATATTCTTAAACACCAATTTGGGACAAGTGGTGTTCCCTGCCTAGCGGTCGTTCTCAGCGTGGGTGTGGCTGACTTGATCGCGCCGAGCTTCGGGGACAGGTGGAAGCTGCAGGTAAATCCAATAGGAAGGCTTTCTGGCTGCCATCACTCCAGAATGGGATGCGAGAGAGGGGAAAGATGGGAGACCTTGCGTGAAAGAGACTATTAAGTGTCGTTGGTGTGTGAAGTCTCCGGCGGGACATGGGAAAGAGGAGCTTGAGGAACTGAGGCTTAAGCGAGAAACTGGGAGTTTGCAGAAGCAGAGAAGCGAGGTCGGAAGAAGGGTGACGATGTAGGTAATTGGAAAAAGATGGGGAGCGAGAACAAAATAAACCGGCCGCAGGGGCGGAGGGGAGGGAAGGGAGATTGAGGTGCACAGGCATTTCTCTCTCCCTTCCTGGAGAGCCCCGGCCGCTGCCGGCTCCAGCAGAGCCCCGGGCCCCGGCCCATGCCCACCTCGGTGTAGCTGGGTAGCCTCTTGCAGCTACTCCCCCATCCTCAATTCCCGGTGGCGGACCCCACCCGACCGAGCGCAAGCTGTGCGCGCGCGAACGAAGCACGCCGTCCCCGACCGCCGGGCCGCCGCGCTCGGAATGGGGGAGGTCGAGCCGCACCGGCAGCAACGAGCGTAGCAGCTCCAGTCGCCTCCGCGCGCCCCGGTCCCCACGGTGAAACGGGGCGGGGCCTGGCGCGGGGCACTGTGGGAAAGGCGTGGAGGACGCGGCCTGGGAGGACCTGCGGCAGGCTCAGCGGGCGCGGCGGCAGCAGGGTGGAGAGGGCGGTGTAGGTTTAGGTTGACGTGGCCGTCCGCGCGGAATCCGGCTCCGGCTCCGGCTCCAGCCCTGAGCTCAGAAGCCTGCTCAACCCTGGACGCCTGCGCCCCCGCACTAAAGCGGCTGGCACACGCGGCGAGCTGGACGTAGGACGATGGAGCCCGCCCCTTCCTGCTCCAGTTGCTATGGTGACGGGGAAACCCCGGAGGGCACGTTTAGCCGTTCAATTTCCGTGTGGCCCTGTTCTTAAAGGGAAGGCAGAGTTATGGAGCATTTTTCTGGTTGGTGGGTGGGTGTGGCAGAGAGGGGAAATTTTGTGGAAAAAGGGTGACTTGGCCAAAGTGACACTGATTACAGGCTGAAGAAGAAACTTGGGAGAAATAAGAATATTTGTGTGTGTGTGTGAGAAGAAACATTTGAGCATTCTTCAGTATTGTCTGGTTTCCTAGTCGTCCAAGCTAGAAACTAGGGAGTTATCCATACTTCTCTCTCTCTCACCTTAAATTTAAATGATATGGTACAAAAACTGCATTTTTGATCTCCAACAACATAGAACAGTTGAAGTAGCTACATTTGCAATCATTAAAAGAAAAAAAAACATTGTGAAGATGCCTGCTTAAGACGTCAACCCTAAAAAAAAAAAAAAGACATTAACCCTAATATGAAATAAGTTGTAATTGGTAACAATTTCATGTGTAGTAAAATCAAATGTAAGTTTATAAAAAACTGATGACTGTATGGAATCCATAGCTGAACTAATATATTGCAAGAAAGAGGAGAAAGGAGGTGAACAAAAGTAGAAATATTAGAAGAGCCTAATGTAATAGTAGATATGTGCCAGGAACTGGTCTATGCACACATGTATTAATTCAGTCCTCCAAATAATCTTATAGTGACTATTATACCCATTTCACAGTTGAGGAAACTGAGGTAAATAATGTGATAGACCTGGGAGTCACACTTAAGCAGCCTGGCTCCAAAGACTGATGTTAATCATTATGCCACACTGTGTATAAACCAACAAAATCGTTAGAGTAAGGTGGAAAGCAAAACAAAACTGGAGAATCAAGCAGGGACCTGATCATAGTGGGTTTTACGCTATGATGAAAACACAGACTTTATCTTTTTCGTGATGAAAAAGCTACTTAAAGCTTTTAAGCAAGGGACTGAGATTGTATTTGAAGCTATTGGAAAGTGAATCCAAAGGAAACCAGAAGAGAAAGGAAGAGCATTAAGGAGAATGCTACGGAAAGTAAATTTGGTAGGAAATGGTGATTGGCTGGATATGGGAAATAAAGGAGAGGAAGGATCTAAGGTTACTTCTGGTTTAGGTAACTGAGTACATCCCCTGAATGAGAATCTCAGGGAAAAACAAAGCATTCTCATTTGGATATATCTATTTCAAAATTCCTACATTATGTCCAAAATAAATACATCTAGCCTAAAGCTCATGGAAAGTGTCTAGACTGAAGAAAGAAAAAGGGAATTATCAACTAATCTGTGGTAGTTGGAGCCATAAGTATAAATAAGATTACCCAGAGAAAGTAGCAGAATAAAAGCTGTGAGCCAAGGATAAAATCTTGGGGAATTCTAATATCAGGAATGTTGCACAGCAAAGGAAACCATCAACAACATGAAAAGACAGCCTATGGCATAGGAGAAAATATTTGCAGATCATATATCTAATAAAGGGTTAACATCCAAAATATATAAAGAGCTTATACAACTCAATAGCAAAAACCCCCAAACAATTCAATTAAAAAATGGGCAGATGATCTGAATAGACACTTTTTCAGAGAAGACATACAGGTGGTCAACAAGCATATGAAAAGGTGCTCAGCGTCATTAATCATCAAGGAAATGCAAATCAAAACCACAATGGGATATCACCTCACACCAGTCAGATATTAGTCATAATATCAAAAAGCAAAAAAATAAATGTTGGCAAGGATGTGGGGGAAAGGGAACCCTCATACTATTGGTGGGAATGCAAACTGGTGCAGCCACTATGGAAAACAGTATGGAGGTTCCTCAAAAAATTAAAAATAGAACTACCATATGATCCAGTAATTCTACTTCCAGGTGTTTATCCTAAGAAAGTGAAAACACTAATTAGAAAAGATATATGCACCCTCATGTTTATCACAGCATTATTCACAATAGCCAAGATATGGAAACAACCTAACTATTGAATGACAGATGAACAGCTGAAGAAAATGTGGTATATATGTAAAATGGAATATTATGCAGCCATAAAAAAGAATGAAATCTTGTCATTTGTGACAACATGGATGGGTTTTGAGGGCATTATGCTAAGTGAAAAAGGACATACAGAAAAAGACAAATACTGTATGATCTTATATACAGAATCTAAAACACACACACATACACACACACACACCGCACCACCAAACCTATAGAGGACAGATTGTTGGTTGCCAGAGACTGGAAGTGGGGGGTGGGTGAGATGGATGGAGAAAGCCAAAAGGTACAGTTTTCCAGTTATAAAATATATGAGTGCTGGGGATATAATGTACAGCACAGTGACTATAGTTAATAATACTGTATTGCATATTTGAAAGTTACTAAGAGAGTAGATGCTGAAACTTCTCATCACAAGAAAAAAAATTGTATAACTATTTATGGGACAGATGTTAATTAGAATTATTGTGGTGATCATTTCACAATATAGACAAATATCAAATCATTATATTGTATATCTGAAACCAATATAATGTCAATTATACCTTAATAAAAATTTACAAATTAAAAAAAAAGAATGTTAGCTCTATGAAGACAGGAATTTTTGTTTGTTTGAATTACTGTTGTATCCCTAGTTGCTCCTGGCACATGGTGGGTACTAAATAAATATTTCTTAAGTGAAACAAATTAATTTGAGAGCTGGGCTGAAAAAGAAGAGCTCATAAAGGAGTCAAAAAGGAGATGATCAGCAATGTACAAAAAGAACTAAACGTCAAGGAAGTTATTAAGAGTGATTCAGGTGAGACAGAATAGGAGAAGATACTTGCAAATGACATCAGATAAAGGGCTAGTATCCAAAGTCTATAAAGAACTTACCAAACTCAACACCCAAAGAACAAATAATCCAATCAAGAAATGGGCAGAAGACATGAACAGACATTTTTCCAAAGAAGACATCCAAA